TTAGTCTTTGATCTTTCAGAAGCTGTCTGTTTTCTGAAGGCAAATTTGATCAAAGAATGATTTTGTCGCTCTTCAGACAATTATTTCGTCAACATTGACAAAATTAACAACAACTAAAAAGAAATAGAAAAAAAATTTCTGGTTTCAAAATAAGCTAAATAACATGGGAGAAAAATCTGCTCATTAAACTGCACATAAAAATATTAGTGGACTAATGTTGAAACCTTTCATTCCTAGCAGTATTACTCAACTTAATGAAAAAAATGAAGCAATAAGCTGCAGTAGTCTTATCTTGGAGAGTTTGGCTATTTGATCTTTTGTCAGCTGATCATCGGTTAAGCAACGAGCGTGAAGTAGACCACAATCAAAACAGCAGTATATGTCACCGATACTTCAATATGTGCTTAACGTCGTTTAAAAAGCGCTTTCTTGCCAGCTCAATTGCTGCACTAGTAAAGTGTGAAAGAAAGTAAAGTTGTTTTTCTTGTTTCAGAGTTAGCCAGTTTATGGGCCGTTTGGTCAACAAGTCTTTTTTCAGCTTTCTAAATAGAACATGAGGCTGTCAGATTTTATACACCTTTTTTTCTTTTCATTTTTTCACCAAAAATTAGAGCAATGCCGCTTCCAGCCACTCTTTACTGAAATAACAACTTAAGATTAAGCAATTCATTCTTGACCTTAGGTACAAAACAAAGACAACAACTTTTTTTGATAAGCGCTTTATTCAAATCCTAAAACTCTTCTAGAAGATTAGCACATCTTTTGCCCTCATAAGAGTAATCTTAGAAAATAGTGCAAATGAAAGTTCGTTAAGAAAGTCTTTGACATTTTTTATTTTGCAACATTAAGATAACAATACTTATAGAGAAAAAAATGCAGTAATCTGTTAGCATCATGTGACTGTTTTTTTCGACAACTAAAAAACTTGATGAAAATATGCATTAACAATTTTGTTCTACAGATTAATGAGAAAATTTTTTTTCTTCTGATTTCTGCCAAAAAAAACTTATTGACATCGATAGCAAAATAAGAGATTATTTTTTATCGCCTTCTGCCCAAAAATATAGAGATAAACGTTGAAAAGAAAAGAGAGTTAAGAAAAACAGTTTTTTTGCACCAACAAATCACTGCACAGCGCACTGTATACTGTACAATATTTACCCCTCAAAGCAAAACAGTGACATTCTCATCGACTACAGTAATCTCAAAAATCGTTTCAAAAATCAAAAATCTATTCCCATTTTAATCAAAATTGTAGCTCCCTGAAAAGTGCAAAAGAAGTTGTCAATTTATCTATCTGTTGAATGAGTAATTTGATAATGAAAACAATCATTCTTCTAATTAATTGCCTAAACAGCATCTAGTTGTAACGCTATAGCGGATACGGTATCTCGCGGAAAGTCTGTAGAAGTATAAATCATAGTTAAAGCACAGTTATAATTTTTAGCATTCAGATCAGTGAAGACTCAAACTTTGATATTAGTAAAGTAAACACAAAAAGCAAAGGTTGAAAATGAAGCAGTGAAACCTCACTTGGCGAACAAACGAGTAAAATGTCAAATTTTATAACTTATGCACCTTTTTTCAGCACTGGTAAAGATTATAAAAAAGAAGAAATAAACAGATGATTGAATGGTACTCACCAAATATGCGGTATCCACCGCCAAAAGGTAAGCATAATAATGAGTACGCCCAAGTGCTTGCGGTACAAAATATTCCCATAGATTAACAAGTGTTGCAGCAAAATTGGGTATAAAATAGCAACCAACAACCATAACAAGGGTACGAGTAGCTGTTCGAACACCACGAGGATATTGCTTTTGGCATAAACTAAACAAATGCAATTAATAATATACTGCATAACAGTGTTTAATAAGTAAAAAAAATAATAATTTCTTTTTTTTTTTATCAGTCTTTTTTCTTACCTTTTTTCTTCTTTTCTTTTCTCTTGGTTATTGGTCACAAAGCACAGAAGTTGATGTTAATGTAGTATTTAAATAGTTTATTCTGCTCTATACTTCACTTACCCGGTGCCACTTTCTTCTCGAAGAAGTGGAAGCCTTCTTGTGCAAAATTGCTTTAACATCTCTTTCCATTCTCGTCTCCGTTGTCGTAGCTCAACAACAATACGAAAATTGCAAAAAGCTAATACAATAAATGGTATAAAAACGGTACAAAGTTTTCTAGTCCAAAATCGTAATGGATCGTTAACCGTATGATGTTGAACCCATATTGGAACAACACTAAAATGGATAAACAAAAAATGTAGTAATTGGTATCAATTGTTGTCCAACAATTTGATAACAATATAGCGAACAAATTAGGTAAATAAAAAGCTGTTTTATGTGTTAAAATTTTTCAAAATAAATTGTTCAAAAATTTATTGAAATAAAAAAGCAAAAAAGAATGCTATAAAAGTCATTATGATACAGAAAAGGATCATTTAAAAAACTGCTAGTTTTTTTTTTATGCTCTATGCTAACAAGTACATTAAATGTCAAGTTAATCAGGTACTTGAAGAAAACAGCAAAAACCAAGAAAAAAAAAAAAAGGAGGAAGTAATAGGTAATACCTTTTTAATGTTGAACATCCACGGAGGTAGACAACAGGAGTTTCAATGTACAGTGTTGCTTTGAACAAAAATGATAGAGTACAAATTGTGATGATAACATAGATTTTATGTTTTACCATTGCTATCAGTACACTTTTGCTAGCTTTTTTTGCACTATTTGCTAAATATCGTTCTAAGCTAGCCACAACCAATAAGAAATTTGAGATTGTCGATGCAATATTCTAGAAAAGCTTTTGTTGTTGTTGTTGCTGTTGATATTTGTTTTTCTCAATTCTTGCAAACATATAGTTAACGTTCAGAGATTATACTACTCTACAACTACTATGCTCTTTATGGATCTTCCATATATAACGGCTAAATTGGAGCACTCACTACTGTTAAACTCAATTCAAAAATGAATAAATCTATAAGAATAGATCAATTCAACAGTACATTTCAAAAACTTTTTCAAAACTTGAGCACTTACAACAAACTTAGTCTTATATCTTCTGTTCAAAGCACCAAAAAAAAAAATTTAATAAATTTTATTTAGGTTTTCTTCTGCTATTTTTTTTTCTCATTATTTTTTTTTTCATTTCTTTAAAATAATATTACAAAAAAAAAATTTTTTTACCTGTATACAATAAACAATTCGCATATATTCCAACCAACAGTTAAAAATAAAAACATTTTTGAACATCAGTGCCGATATGTGAACCGACATCAATGCAATATAACAGATTGCAACCACAATATCAAATAGCGCTAATAAAACTGGATTTGCGTAATTTTGTCGCCTCAACTTCTGTGATGTTGAAAACACATAAAACAGTATTAAATTTTCCACAATACTTACCTAAAAACAAAAAA